TAAGAACAAATAAATACATAATGGAGGGAGTTATCTTCTTCGCGTTCACCGACTGTAAGCTCAGGCGGAAAGTTCTGGTTGTTCATCCACTTCTGGACTCTAGCCCTGTTCCAGAACCTGAGTGTTGCGTGTACAACCGTTTCACGGGTTCTTTGCCGCTCATGCAGATGTACTCTGGTTTCCAAGGAAGCTCCCAATTAGTCGACTCTTACGACATGCTTTTTGTTTTCCCCACAACTGGGCTGCGTAACCCACACGGGGAAGAAGTGAGCAGTTGGTCTATTCTTGTTTTCCCCACAGCTGGGCTCCGTAACCCACACGGGGAAGAAGTGAGCAGTTGGTCTATTCTTGTTTTCCCCACAACTGGGCTCCGTAACCCACACGGGGAAGAAGGTAGTTATTAATGCAAGATCAACCACATATTGGTCGTTACACTTTCAGAAGAAAAATATGGAGATGAACATCGCTTTCCATTGGTATCAGAATGTATGCTTAGTCTTTTGGCATCACCTCATTCCTCTGCAGGGAGAGTGTTCTCTCTGCTTGAAACTGTTAAGGTAAAATCGCACTTCTTTGAAGACTTCAACAACGAATGCATTGATGAGATCAAAGTTATTGCTGCAGGACATTTGGGAACCGCTGCAACAGCTCTTTAACAAACTAAGCGAAACAAAACGGTACAGCAATTATGTAATGGACAAATAATTTCAATTCCGATCAACCTTTATATATATATATATATATATATATATATATATATATATATATATATATATATATATATATATATATATATATATATATATATATATATATATATATATATATATATTAGAGCTGTACCGAATAACGGGACCAACTATTCGGCCGAATACGAATAGTGTATAGTGTATAAAATATATTTCCCCCCCCCCCCCCAAAAAAAAAAACAGGCATAATGTCAAATACTGAATTATTACTTGACTTAAAGTAGCACAGAATAGTCATATTCTTCTTTAGCATTCTGAGCCCTTGAGGTTAACTGCTTCATTTATCTTTCTGGTAGGCCTTCTCTTCACAATCTGTGACACCAGTTGTTTACAGGTTTGTCTGGACATTATCTCTCGAACTTCTTTTTTGTTTGCCTGGTGGTCTACGCCGATTTTCTCTCGGGTGTATACAGTTTTACTTCTCTTTCATCTGACATTCTTTCAGTATGCTCCAACCATTTTAGTCTGTTAGCTCTCATGATGCCAGTGATCAATGGTGATTTAAACAGATTATGTGTTACGTTGTTGCTTCTCACTCTCCATTCCCCGCTGTTAGCATCTTTGATGGGTCCAAAGATTTGTCGTAAGACTGTTTTCGAAAACCTGTAATAAGGCCTCATCTCTTTTATTTCTGCTTTAAGTTTCAGAGCCATATAAAACGTCTGGTCTTATCAACGTTTTATGTATTATGATCTTGGTGTTGCGAGAAAGCACTTTGACCTTAGCAGATGTTGAAGGACATAGATAACTTTATTTCTAGATTGTATTCTAGACTATTTCTTCACTGACAGCTGCATTAGCTTTCAACTAAACCAATCGTTCCATGTTGTCAGTATTAAGGCCGTGTATGCAGAAGCGGGTGTAATGTAACTACTATTCGTATTTGGCCCGACCGCAGCTATTCGACCGAATACCGAATAGTCAATAGGTCCACTATTCGGCCCCGAAGCAAATATTCGGTACAGCCCTAATATAAAAATATGTGTGTGTGTGTGCGCGCGCGCGCGCGAGAGAGCGTGTTAAAAGACGTTGTAACGGTTATTTTAAATTTTAATTGGGCACTTTCTTTTTAATAGATCCGAAACAAAGGAAATTATCGGGAAAGTCCAATATTCTAGAGGAAGCGATCGGGGCTGACAAACATGCTAACCCTATAACACCTCTAGAATTTCGGATTTTCATGGAAACACCGGGATTTCCTTTTGTTTTTGGGGGGTCTGAATAAAAAATAAAGTACCAAAACTGTGGCACCTTTTAATATATTTTTGTACCTTTTCACACACAAACTGTATATTCCAGCCCGCCCCCAAATAAAAATAAATGTCAGCAGCACTCGGTCCATGTCTACATGTGGCTGAGGGTGCCATTTCTGTCAGCGCGATTTGTGGGTATTGTTGACTCCTAGGCCGTCTTATACTGTAGCTAAAGATGGCCGTGGTTCGCGCCGTTACTTCTTCCTTCTGCAGATAACCGAGTTTTCTGATTTTTGTCAGGGTGACGCAGTGACGTAAGGGTGTCTTGCGTGGTGGTGAATAGTTTGTCACGGATCACATTTTGATGTGCCAGGTTCAGTTCTTTTTGGGCATTTCTTCTCATAGAAGTATTAGCCCGTCAACTGGCTAACGGGTCTGTGTGGAGAGACCAAGCTGGGCATGCGAGACAGTACAGTGATGTCGACCTTCTCATCGTTCAACTTTAAGACTTGACTCTTCTCTCCTCCAGTGGATTGCCTCACCGGTTATGCACCTCTAGCTTAAGATGTCTTTGAATTCGACTTCAGCCTTTATTTATGTATACATTTTCTTGACAGCCTGTGTGTTATTCCTACCTATGGGCGGGGTTTCTTTTCCTCATAATGTTATCAAATCTGCAGTCTTACATACACAAATAGATGACTAGATATCATACGTGCAGATTTTATAGAGACATCCACGACTGTGATTGGTTGCGAACACCGTCACCTCTTGGTAACTTGAAGCGTTATGTTACTGGTTTAAGGCGGACTGAGTAGCATACGACGATAGATGGTTGAAACATCAGCAAAAGACTGTTCTTGTACATTGATAACGGGTGATTATTTGTATGGTTTCGGGAAAGGGTTCCTAGTGGAATGTGGCTTTCTGAGTCCCATTTGGGGAAGGGTGGAGTAGACCCCCTGCCGACCCCCCCCCCCTCCCCCTCCCATTCCGTAATAACCATATCGTACAGGGCGACTGATTAAAGATTTGCTGAATTCTGAAGTGTTGGGCCAACAGACACGTATAACGCACCCTAGCTGTAATGCTGCAACACAACTTGCAACTTGCCAACCGTCTTTTTAAGCGCATGGTTAGTTGCGTATCCTTTACAGGTCTTTGCAGAACCAACCCCAACAGCCCCTGGCTGTTGTGTGGTTTTTCTAGGCAAATTTACGTCCAGTAGTTTGCCATTCTAAACGCATACGGAGACGAAATATAAACGGATGGTTCCTGGTACAGTAATGGTGGTTAGTCTTTGGTACAATAGGAGTGGATAGCTCCGGATACATAAGAGTTGAACAACCCGTGGTACTGTAGCGATGGATGGCGCCTGGTACCGACGCGATGGATAGTCTCTGGTACGGTAGTGATAGGAGAAAAATTGTACTTTTAAAAAAAAATCATTATTCAAGCCAAATAGAGGGAATGCCGAAGTTCACGGAAAAGTCTAATATTCTATGTGTGTTATGGGTTGGTGTTTAGGTTGTGATCTTTGAGCTTTGAACAACTGAACCAACATCATGGCACATAGGTAGTAGCCCATAAGTGCTATATTCTTTTTCTAACTCAAGTCTGATTCCGAAAAATCTCAGCACAGTGCACCCCCCCCCCCCCCCCAAACCACACACACACGCCCCCCCCCCCCCTCCCGGTTGTAATCTTTTTCAGACCCGAGACTGTGTCTGGTTGAATAGATGAACAAGGCCGCGCTAGCTAAAGATGGCGACGATCAGATGTGAAACACGACCACCGAGTAGTTGTCTCCGGGGCTAAGACCTGGCTGTTTCAGCCGGCTGGTTTCATAAATGGCCGCCGTTTGTTCTCGTTCAAGAAAGATTCATTATTGATTTGATTAAACGTTGTGCTATCGCTACCATCCGACCGGCGCTGTTCACAGTACAGTTCTTCTGTCAGTGATACTGTCCATACTATACTGCATTTGATTTGTCTGAGTGGATGGTGAAGAAAATAGACCCCGGCGTATTATGAGCTGCGGGTGATAACTGTAAGGGAAAGTTAGTTTCTGTATCCTGTAGAATAAGGCTTCTCAGCTGGCGGCCCGCATACCGAATACGGCCCGCAGAGGTCTAGCAATGGCCCGTCTATCATTGTCAGTTGTACTGCATTAATGATCTTTCTGTGGAAGGACTCGGCCACTGGCCCGTGACGACTCTAATTTTCAACACTTTGACCCATAAGTCAACTTAGTTGAATGGCCCAGAAATCTATTTTTGTTCAGTCTGTAATCGATGCACCGACAATTTACTGACTTTAAAGGCTTTTTTTCCCGGCTGGCCGAACCGTTGGAACGCTATGATCTCAAGCTGTAGTTCGAATCCTCTATAAGGCTGGGGAATTTTTTTTTTCTGTTAGGAGCTAAATAAAATCCTTACCTGTACAGTCGTGGCGACAGCACTGGCCATGCGGCCGTACATTCTCAGGGTCAAAGACACCCCCCCCCCTTTTTTTTTTCTTCCTACACCGCAGAAGTGGTATAATAAATGCAGTCAGCAGTTGTTTTTTTTTTTTTTTATGTATCCATCTTTCCTCTGACATCTTTTACTGTAATCCAAATCCAAGAAAGATGCAAGTCAAAGTTTGTAGCTTAAAACTACATATTATTTCATCTTTGAAATCCATCGCTGCAGCGATCGCGTTAGACTCAGAAAATTAAGATAACGAAGGATTTTAATTAAAACAGAAATCAAGAACAACGTTTAAAGTACTGTTGCTAGTCGGGATGATTTTGGCCACTTGCACAACGCCCAGCAGAAGTACAGAAGTAACTTTCCTAAACCTCTCGATCAGCTTTGTAAATTCAGTTGATACTACAACCCCACCCCAGCACCACCACCACAACCACGTCTTTGTAACATTCCATGGGCGTATTCCCCCCCCCCCACCCCACGGTTGGTGTGGACCGCAACCCTCACGAGGCGATGCTAATTGAACGGGTGTACCTATTTGACATACACAGGTGAAATAATTGTTCTTTTGTTTATGTGTATTTCAGGTTAGAAGATGACAATTTTTACTCAAACAATATTCGGCTGGATCCGCCCATGCTTGATTTTCAAAATCAGTAAGTGGAAAGTGTCTTGTCAGTTGATATATGTGTTGTGGTGTTGTCAGGACAGCGAGAGAACACGTCTTTGTGTGTGTGTGTGCGTGCGTGCGTGCGTGTGTGTGTGTAAGAGTAAGTAAGTAAGTAAGTAAGTGGATGTATGTGTCGTAGAGAACTGTTAGAAACAGTAAGTAGAAAGTGTCTGTCAGATTTGTTTGCGGCGGTATACTTTCCATGTGCTTTGGGGCGGCAGAGGTTGCAAGCCAAGCCCCGGGAAATCATTAGCTAAAATCTTAGATCATTTTTTCACTCTGTTGTCTCTCTCCACCGATTTGTCTGGCTAACATTCTGCTTACATTCCCACCTCTCGGCTGTCTGTCCTGTGTATAACGGCCAATCTGGATAATATCCTAGTCACCATTCTGCCTCCCTGGTGTGTGTGTCCTATTTATAATTGTCAGTCTGGCTAATATTCTAGTCACATTCCCACATCCCTGCTCTGTGTTCTATTTATAGCTGCTAATTTTGATAATATTCAAGTCACATTCGTACTTCTCTGTGGAGTATCGTAATTATAGCTACCAATCTGGAATACATTCTAGTCACATTCCTACCTCTCCAATTCCAATTCGTCCAACAAAAATTTCAAATTTGATTCTCTTTCAGCCGCCCGGAGGCCTGCTTTATCTAAGAAGGTTCCTTAGCTGTCTTATATGGTTTCCTTTTATTTGTGGCGCGTAGTCACACCTGATATTACGGTTGTTTGCTTCCTTGCTGTGCTGCGGTGATTGTGGTTTTTGGTTCTGGTGTGGTCCAGATCTTCTTTGCAATGATATCGATGGGAAATAGCTGACTGTTGCTGGTGCTTGGCTTGCCTCGTGCTGGTCGCTGTGCTGGTGCCCTGTTGCTGCTTGGTTGCCGATCTGTAAGCCGCCGAAAAAAAGCCAAACAAACATCGGATCACGTCGTCATGAACAATGTTCCTTTTCGGGACAACCAGGGCCGTCACAATCTGTTGTTGTGATCAGTCCGGTTTTTTTTTTCCCACGGAGTGTGGAGAAGTAGTGGAGGTAAGATAGACTGCAAATGAGAGATCAAATTTGCTCGAATGTGCCAGGAGATGTGATAGTTAGGTCGGGAGAATGAGGGTGACAGATAGATTGAGATATGTGGCTTCTCGTCGCTGGAACTTCGGGTGGGTTGAGATCCAGTGGCCTGAAATAAAACTAGAGGCATTGGTAATGTTCATGTGATTGGATGTGGGGGGGGGGGGGGGGTTGTGTGGCGTAAGAGAGTCTGGAATTTCCGAGTGTTGGTCCCAGCAGTCTGCTTCAGAACGTCGGGTGGCCTTTGGTGGTTTCCGTTGTCAATTTCTGCCTGAAAGAATGTTAATTCAAGATTTTGTTATCATTTGGGGCCTCATGCTGGTGTTCGTCCTTAGGGCAGGGTCTGAAATAGGACTGAAAGGCATTGTTTTAGGTACATGTGGAGTAGGGTAAAGGTGGCGTAAGTTTAGACTGGAATTCCTTAGTGCTGGTCCCCTTTGGTGCAATGCCCTTGGCTAGCTGCTTTAGAGCGTCGGGTGGCCTTTGGTGGGTTCCGTTGTCTACTTCCACCTGAAAATATACTAATTTAAGATTTGTGTTACAACTTTGGCATTTACGATGTTATTCGCCAGCGGACAGGAAGAGGCAGTGGTAGTAGCAAAGGTTTAGAGTGCTGGAATGCTTCAGAGGACATAAAGCGAGGTCGGAAGAGTGAGAGGAAGAATAGGAAGGATAGATTCCTACCTCTCTGTGGAGTGTCCTATTTATAGCTACGAGTCTAGATAACATTCTAGTCTCATTATTACCTCTCTGTGGAGTGTCCTATTTATAGCTACGAGTCTAGATAACATTCTAGTCTCATTCCTACCTCTCTGTGGAGTGTCCTATTTATAGCTACGAGTCTAGATAACATTCTAGTCTCATTCCTACCTCTCTGTGGAGTGTCCTATTTATAGCTACGAGTCTAGATAACATTCTAGTCTCATTCCTACCTCTCTGTGGAGTGTCCTATTTATAGCTACGAGTCTAGATAACATTCTAGTCTCATTCCTACCTCTCTGTGGAGTGTCCTATTTATAGCTACGAGTCTAGATAACATTCTAGTCTCATTCCTACCTCTCTGTGGAGTGTCCTATTTATAGCTACCAGTCTTGATAACATTCTAGTCTCATTCCTACCTCTCTGTGGAGTGTCCTATTTATAGCTACCAGTCTAGATAACATACTAGTCTCATTCCTACCTCTCTGTGGAGTGTCCTATTTATAGCTACGAGTCTATATAACATACTAGTCTCATTCCTACCTCTCTTTGGAGTGTCCTATTTATAGCTACCAGTCTGGATAACATTCTAGTCTCATTCCTACCTCTCTTTGGAGTGTCCTATTTATAGCTACCAGTCTTGATAACATTCTAGTCTCATTCCTACCTCTCTTTGGAGTGTCCTATTTATAGCTACCAGTCTTGATAACATTCTAGTCTCATTCCTACCTCTCTGTGGAGTGTCCTATTTATAGCTACGAGTCTAGATAACATTCTAGTCTCATTCCTACCTCTCTGTGGAGTGTCCTATTTATAGCTACCAGTCTGGATAACATTCTAGTCTCATTCCTACCTCTCTGTGGAGTGTCCTATTTATAGCTACGAGTCTAGATAACATTCTAGTCTCATTCCTACCTCTCTGTGGAGTGTCCTATTTATAGCTAGCAGTCTGGATAACATTCTAGTCACCTTCGCACCTCTCGGCTGTACGTCCAGTTTAAAACTGCCAATCCGGATAACATCCTTGTCGCCATCCTGCCTCCCTGATGTTTGTCCTATTTAAAGTTGCCAGTCTGGCTAACATTCAAGTCACATTCCCTCCTCCCTGTTGTGTGTCCTGTTTATAGTTCCCACTCTGGATAACTGGGGATTGACCCGAGACTTCTGTCTTGAGAAGCTAGCACACTGACTGCCGTATTTCCTGGGAAGGGAGTCCTAGATTCTCGGAGAAGTGGGCAGATTTGCTTCGTCTGTTGAAACAGCCATGAACATATTGATTTATAAAGTGATGAACGTATAAATAAATAATACACTGTTAAAAACGCATAGTTATCCGATGGCGCGTTTTTATTAATTGACGACACGGCTCTCACACCAAAAGAACTGTCTATTGATTGGTTAAACCCTAAGATATTCTTGTGTGAAGTTTTACTCACTAAATTACAGTGATTGAGAATGTCAGAATTATGACAGATAAGTTCCTTTCTTCTTCTATTGCATTCATAGAAAGAAGTAATTACTTTGTGTCGTTTACAGCATGGCTGCGATGTTTTCGCCGTTCGGCCGACACATTCGACTTCTGCAGGCATTTGTTGACCGGGTTAGCTTCCCGGATTTTTTCCTCCTTCTTTCTCCCCTCGAAATTTTTTTGGTATTAAAAATTCAGTAACAAATTCTAAAATTGCTGCATCTGGTGAATAATACGTCCGTGGCGTTCTAAATACGGGACATACATGTATGCAGAACATAGATTTCTCCTCCTCCTCCCAGATTCACTCTTTCTTGCCACCTCTGCTCTCTCCCAACCTCCTCTCTGTGTTTACCCCCCCCCCCCTCCTTCCTTCCCTCTTTCTTTCGCTTGTGTCCCCCCCCCCCCTCTCTCTCTCTCTCTCTCTCTCTCTCTCTCTCTCTCTCTCTCTCACTCTCTCTCTCACCCACTCCCAATATTTTTTTAAAATAATTTATTTATTAAGCAGCACAAATAATCCCCGACAGTGCAACCAAATCGAAGATAATATACAAAAATAACACAGGGACTTGTAAAGGAAATGGTCTGTTTATACTTGTAGTTCGTCCATCTCAAGTGATGATGACCAGTCGTTTCTGGTGACGTTAGGGTTTGTAAGTGCGAAGATGGCTTATAATACCATTCTAGCACTGAAAGTTCTTGAGCAGCGCGGACAGGGAATAAAAGCCACATCTGTGGTGATTTGCTTCAGTGTCTTTTCTGGCTTGTCTTTTCCGAATTGCTGCTGCAGTTCTAGCAGCTTCATGGGTCGCAGATCCTCGATGAAGAGAGGAGCGCTAGGATGAGCGGTCCCGTGCAGCGACTTTCCAGGTTTTAGGATCAATACAGAAGTCTTCCAGTGAGGTCTTGAGGATGGCCTGTGTTTACAGGTAACAAAGGAAGAGGTGTTTTTACAAAGCCGTCAGACTATGATGTGCCTCCCTTGCTTGCTTAGGGAATGGTTTCTCCAGCAAACCTGAAGATGAGAGAGAGAAACATGCCAACCTGTCTCTAGCTAAGACGGTGGCCAGATGACAATTTCTAGCGGTCTACAGCAATTGGGTCCACATCAGACAGTTTTGGACTGACGAAAATCGACTAAAAAGTTTGAGTATATTCAAAATATTAAGAATTTACAAACACAGCCTTCTTTGATATCCTTTCAGTAGCTGTTTTTTTTTGGGGGGGGGGGGGGGGGATGAACGGTTAGAACACTGGGCTCTCAAGCGGGAGACCCGGGTTCGAATCATCGGTAAGGGTAGGGATTTTTCTTTCTATCGGGGGTTTAATAAATCCTCACCTACACAGTCGTGGCGACAGCACTAGCCACGCGACCCTAAATTCTCATTCCCCCCCCCCCCCCCCAGAAAGAGTGGTATAATAAAGGTTTATTTTTAATAAAGGCAGTATTTTTTCTGTTTTTCTTTTTGAGCAGTAAAGTGCTATAAACCATGCGTTGAACACAGTATGTTATAATTATTGGCATTGCTGTTTTAAATACATTGTAATATAAATTGTAATTAAGAGTGCCTAAAATAAAGATATCTGTAAAAGAAACAAATAGGCCAAGGCGTCTTTTGGAACACAAATTTTAAGAAAAGAAGACCCGGTCTTTAGACACAGTATTACGCCATATTTGTAGGTTATGTTTGCCGTGAACTAGGTCACACAGACACAAACGAATCGCCGGGTCCTGCAGGCAACGCAGCTTTTAATAATGTGGATTTGGTAACGATCGTCTTCTCTCCCCTGGCTGTTCCAGATGAGTGCGTTTTAAGGTCACCAAAGTAAATGGCTGTTGTGTTGTGGGCTCGAGTGGGTTGTATGCCTGTTGTCGTTGTGATTACGTTAAAAGTGCACGACTGACTGATATTGGGTGTCGCCGTGGCGTTGGTGGCTAGACGCCCGCCTGCGAATCGGAAGGTCGTGGGTTCTGACGGAGCCGGTTCACCCCCCCCCCCTTCCAAAATGACCTTGACTTCCAGGTCGACCCAGGCTTGTGTGGGTATCAAGTGCAGACCTGGGAAGTAAAGGCAGCCGGCGTGATGCTGACCAAATCATCCACAAAATGCCGATCATCTAAAACAATATAATCCCAATACGCCTAAAGGCAAAGGGGACCTTTACTTCACTCCTTTACTGACAGATGTTGCACCATACAATCCCGTCGGCCCTCACCAGCATAGGACTACGGGTTGTACCCGACTATTGTAGCCGTTACGAATGCCCCGATTATAGTTTATTTTGGAGGTTAAACGAGTTAGCTCGGATCTGTCTTAGTAGTCTGCCGTCCAGATATGTAAAGGCGAGTGGATCCACTTGATTGCGCAGGGTTTTTGTCCCATATGGTTGAGTCGCTCTCCGCAGAATAGCTAGCTGCCGGACGAGAGGTCGCACAGAGCGCTACCCCTGTGAGTCTTTCAGTAGTGTTCATCTAATATGTTCTTCTGTAAGTGGGTTAACTTTCTATATGGATTCTTTCAGTAGTGTCTGTCCATCTAATATGTTCTTCTGTAAGTGGGTTAACTTTCTATATGGATTCTTTCAGTAGTGTCTGTCCATCTAATATGTTCTTCTGTAAGTGGGTTAACTTTCTATATGGATACTTTCAGTAGTGTCCATCTAATATGTTCTTCTGTAAGTGGGTTAACTTTCTATATGGATTCTTTCAGTAGTGTCTGTCCATCTAATATGTTTTTCTGTAAGTGGGTTAACTTTCTATATGGATTCTTTCAGTAGTGTCTGTCCATCTAATATGTTCTTCTGTAAGTGGGTTTACTTTCTATATGGATTCTTTCAGTAGTGTCTGTCCATCTAATATGTTCTTCTGTAAGTGGGTTAACTTTCTGTATGGATTCTTTCAGTAGTGTCCATCTAATATGTTTTTCTGTAAGTGGGTTAACTTTCTGTATGGATTCTTTCAGTAGTGTCTGTCCATCTAATATGTTCTTCTGTAAGTGGGTTTACTTTCTATATGGATTCTTTCAGTAGTGTCTGTCCATCTAATATGTTCTTCTGTAAGTGGGTTAACTTTCTATATGGATTCTTTCAGTAGTGTCTGTCCATCTGTTTTTCTGTAAGTGGGTTAACTTTCTATATGGATTCTTTCAGTAGTGTCTGTCCATCTAATATGTTTTTCTGTAAGTGGGTTTACTTTCTATATGGATTCTTTCAGTATATGGATTCTTATGTTTTTCAGTAGTGGGTTTACTGTCCATATGGATTCTTGTCAGTCTTGTCCATAATATGTTCTTTTGTAAGTGGGTTAACTTTCTATATGGATTCTTTCAGTAGTGTCTGTCCATCTAATATGTTTTTCTGTAAGTGGGTTAACTTTCTATATGGATTCTTTTAGTAGTGTCTGTCCATCTAATATGTTTTTCTGTAAGTGGGTTAACTTTATGGATTCTTTCAGTAGTGTCTGTCCATCTAATATTTTCTTCTCTAAGTGGGTTAACTTTCTATATGGATTCTTTCAGTAGTGTCTGTCCGTCTAATATTTTCTTCTGTAAGTGGGTTAACTTTCTATATTGATTCTTTCAGTAGTGTCCATCTAATATGTTTTTCTGTAAGTGGGTTAACTTTCTATATGGATTCTTTCAGTAGTGTATGTTCATTTAATATGTTCTGCTTTAAGTGGGTTAACTTTCTATATGGATACTTTCAGTAGTGTCTATCCATCTAATATGTTCTTCTGTAAGTGGGTTAACTTTCTATATGGATACTTTAAGTAGTGTCCATCTAATATGTTCTTTTGTAAGTGGCTAACTTTCTATATGGATACTTTCAGTAGTGTCTATCTAATATGTTCTTCTGTAAGTGGGTTAACTTTCTATATGGATACTTTTTTTTTGTCAGTATGTTATCTAACAGTTACTCTGTTCTTGTGTTAAATAGATATAGGCTTGTCAGTTAAGCGTTTTGGGTGCACATGCTAGTGTGTGTGTGCGCGCGTGTGTGTGTGCGTCTGTGGCGGGGGAGTCTGTCCAGTATATAAAACTATTAGGACATCTGTTGCTCTTTGTGTTTGTTTGTCTTTTTATGCATTACCCGGTGATTGGTGCATTGTGTTGTGGTTTACAGCTAGGCTGCAATATGTCATCATTTCATCATATTTTTCTCTGCACAGTAATGTGGAAGAATACTGACATTAACAACAATGTATTTGCATGATTGTTTATGTCAAATTTCACAAACTTTACACCATAATTCTGTTCATTCTAGTATACCAAAAGAGCAACAGCCTTATTTCAGATAAATAGCATATTTATAATGCATATAAAAGGCCACATGAACGTATTTCTCTCTTTACGGCTGTTAGGGTGGGGAGAAGAACTAGAGTGCATCAAACATAGCTGGGTGATGCTTCTCGTGTGCTTTGGGGTATACTCCAGGACTGGTTTGTGTCTTTGACATTTGATCAGTTGAAGGTTACTGTGGCCTTGTTTGGATTGCAGCATTGTCTCACATTCTAGTATGCCTGTTTTATCCAGATCCCTCTACAGGTGTTTGTATATTATTTATGTTGAACAATCTGTCTGAATAGAGTGATGCTTTGCTGATGCTTATGTTTTGTTAGTTCCCTGTTCCACTAGTCTTGTTGCTTGTGTAACAGGAGATCAGAATGACAGTGCTGAAGTTGTAAGCATTTGCTTCATTGTAGGTCCTTCTGATGGTCATTTGAGCACAAGTATGATATTCTACCACATGGTGTGGCATTTTGTCACAGAGTGACAGTCTAGCACACATTGTGACATTTTAGCACACATTGTGATATTCTAGCACAAACTGACATTCTAGCATACTGTATGATATTCTAGCACCCAGTATGACATTCTAGCTATAGTATGACATTTTAGCACATAGTATGACATTCCTGCACATATTAGGATATTCTAGCACACAGTATGATATTCTAGAACACAGTATGACATTTTGGCACACAGTATGTCATTCTAACACACAGTATGATATTTTAGCTTACAGTATGACATTCTAGAACACAGTATGATATTGTAGCTTACAGTATGACATTCTAGAACACAGTATGATATTGTAGCTTACAGTATGACATTCTAGAACACAGTGTGATATTGTAGCACACAGTATGACATTCTGGAAGCAGTGTGACATTTATGTATGTGGTGTGGCATTCTAGCACACAGTATGACATGCTAGCAAACAGTGTGACATTCTAGCATACATTATGACATTCTACCACCCAGTATGATATTCTAGCATATAGTATGACATTCTAGCAGACAGCATGCCATTCTAACACATAATATCACATTCTAGCACATAGTGTGACCTTCTAGCAGTGTGACACCTGTTCATGTGGTATGACATTCTAGCATACATTGTGACATTCCAGCACATAGTATATAATTCTGACAGGCAGTATGACACTCCAGTGCACATGGCTTTTATGCAGTCAGTAATACACTATTATAAACAGTTGGACATTCATGCACATGATATGACACTCTAGTACATAGTAGGACATTCATGCAGGCAATATTCATGCAGTCAGTAATAACACTCTATTATAACATTCATGGACATTCATGCACAGTAGATTTATGAGGCACTCTAGTACACAGTAGGACATTCATGCAGGCAATAACACTCTATACACAGTAGGACATTCATGCAGGCAATATAACACACTCTAGTACACAGTAGGACATTCATGCAGGCAATATAACACTCTAGTACACAGTAGGACATTTATGCAGGCAATATAACACTCTAGTACACAGTAGGACATTCATGCAGGCAATATAACACTCTAGTACACAGTAGGACATTCATGCAGGCAATATAACACTCTAGTATACAGTAGGACATTCATGCAGGCAATATAACACTCTAGTACACAGTAGGACATTCATGCAGGCAATATAACACTCTAGTACACAGTAGGACATTAATGCAGGCAATATAACACTCTAGTATACAGTAGGACATTCATGCAGGCAATATAACACTCAAGTACACAGTAGGACATTTATGCAGGTGATATAACACTCTAGTACACAGTAGGACATTCATGCAGGCAATATAACACTCTAGTATACAGTAGGAAGTTCATGCAGGTAGTATGTTATGTGTATATGCCTATGTATATTCCACAGACCAGTGGGGATGCCACGCATGGAGAAGGTCACTGTGGAGAATAATGACCCCAAACATAGCCTACACCTTTTGTCCATATCAGGCAGTACAGTTCATTTCCATTGCTCATTTTTTCAAGACAAAGTAAGTGCTGGTTGTCTTGTTCACATGAAATATGGCGCTGTGTGTTTCACCATTTGCATTAGTTTTCTGTTCGATTCTACTGTTCATCAATATTACATTCGCCAATAAGCCCAAATATAGTTCTGAATACTTTATATTATTTTTACCTATGTCATATTTGGGCTGAATAACATAACATAACCCTAGACCCATTAGGGTGGTGGAGGTGTATTGATGGAAGCACTAGCACATAAAACCTGCCATCTTTCTCTGTCTTCGGCTTGATGAATAAGTGTATGATAACTTAGTCATATCCATTTCTTGATGTTGCCATTCCAGGTTCTTCTTTGCCCTTCTTTTCTTCAACTATCCACCCACCCCCCACAACAAATGTTCCTTGAGGTACATTCTTTTGCAATCGAATAATGTCTTACCACATGCCCAAACCAAGCTAGCTTGCAATGTTTCACCACTGCCAAGAGAGGCTCCTAATGTCCCACAAATTTGAATATTTTGTCTAAATTGTTAAATTAGTCTTGAATTGTTGATTAACTGTTGAATAGATTGTTAAATATATTCTGGATTGTTAAATGATCTTGAATTGTTGAATATATAGATTCTGGATTGTTAACAAGACCTTTATTGTTAAAGTAGATATCGGCTTGTTAAATAAAGTAAAGGATCCTTTTCAACACGTTCAGGCATATTAGGCATATTTTATAGACCAGTCGACACTTGGTGGGTGCTGTGGTCAGCATCACGCTTGCCACTTTGACTTCCTAAGACTTTTCCTGGTACCCATTTTAAGACTGTGTTGACCTGGGAGCCAAGGTCATTTTTGAAAAAGGTCTGGCTCCATCAGGACCCAAACCCAGACCTTCCGATGCACAGAGGAGAGTCTGGACTGTTCAATTCAAATTATTAAATAGATTATTTATTGGTAAATGATCTTGGATTGTTGAATAGATAGATACCTGATTGTTAACAGGAGGCTAAATTAAAGTTAAATAGATTATGAATTATTAAACACATCTGATTGTTGAAAAGATTCTAGATGTTTAAGTAGATTCTGGGTTATTGAATAGATTCTGGATTGTTTAAAAAGTCTTCGATAGTTGAAAAACATGCAGAATAATTTGAACATGGCTGAACATTGAATGTACACACAGTGTCAGAATACTATTTTAAAAAAAGGGGGGGGGGGGGGGGGTGAGGCGGGGGTCATCTTACCACATCTCTTTAGAATTATAAATATATCAGATGTGGCTCAGTACCAGAAAGGCTTATGACATACTTCCCAAGCTCTCTTCTTCCACATGTGGTTTCAACCTTGGGTTTCCCATTGGGAAAACAAGAATAGACCCACTGCCTCTACAGAAAGCATGTCAAAGAGTCAACCAATTGTGGGCGTCCTTCGAAGACGGAGTGCATCTGCCTGAGAGGCTAGGAACTAACAGTCTGCATACAGATGTTTGATCTGTTAACTGGCTGTGCATGCATCATTAAGGTTTTGAAAGAAGACTAAAGTCCAGAGGTGGATGAACAACCAGAACTTTCTGCAGGAGTTTGCAACCGCTGAACATGACCCAAAAAAAAAGAAAGCTCTCTTTTAGTTAGGAAAATGGTTCCGTGACACATTGTTCTCCTTAAGGGTGTTGCTAGAATCATTACAGGATAGTTAATGGGATTATCATGTCTCTTGAAAGAGAGTATCGTGGAGGTTCTTGAAAGGGTGTTTTCTCATCTCTTAAAGAAGTATTGTCAATGGATGTTGTCATCACTTAAAGAAGCATTATTACATATGTGGAAGGTGTGTTATCACATATTATGAAGTGTTATTACACCACTTGGATGTGTTTCACATCTCTTGAAGCGTTGTTCCAATGTCTCTTGATGGGATATTTTCACAGAAGAGTAACTGAATGTCTCTTGAACAGGTTCTGCCATGTTTTAAGGCTGAGGATGTGACATTTCATAGATTTCATATTGACTGGATCACTGTCTTTTGATTTTGATTGACTGGACTCCATCCTCCTTAACTTGTCCTAGCCCATTGCACATGCCTGTTGTAACTTATTGTTTGAAATCAAAATAGGTTTTAAAAAACATGACCAGTTACACTCTACTATGGTATATCACCAAAATTAGGGGGGGGGGGGGGGGGGGGAAAACATGACCAGTGATTAAGATAGGCCTCAACCATGATATATCAATGTGTGCAAGCAGGGCATGAATGATGTGGGTATCGAGGTAGATTGCTGGGAACAGTATATTATGGTCTGTTTTATGAGTTATGATTTGGGTTATCTTCACGGCACCCCAGACACGTCCGTAGGTACTCAGATTTCCCCTTCAACATATACATCAGCATCCCACGGTTGATAGTCCCAGTCCTATGTTGGTTGACAAGACTTTTTGTGCTTCCAGTGTGCTTCTCATGCCTGCTTGTGCTGATCTTTACTCCCAGTTCTTGCACTTTTAGCAAAGATGTGGAAGTTATTTTGTTAATATGGTCTGTGTTGATTGGAAGGGGAAATCAGGAAAGGAATGAAGTTAAGGAGGAAATAATAGCAGATAGGTTAACAGCTGAGCATTTGGTCTCGAAATCTCATGCTCTAATTATGGATGACTGTTCTTCTTGTGAGCAAATCTTGCTGGGCACAGTTACCTTCACCATGGAGCTGATTCACATACCTTTCTGCCTCACACACAACTCCAACATTTAGAAAGACAAAAAGGATGCCATGGGGTTGAGATTAATTGACACAAACAAGAAGTCTTATTTTACAGATGTGGCTTATGTCATCATTGAAGGTCGGGATGTTCAGATCCGCATGGTGCTGGATTTTTTGGGGTTTAAACATGATCTTGACTCCCGGACTCACTCAGGCTAAAATGGGTATCAGGTGAAGGTCTGGGAAGTAAAGTTGGCCAGCGTGATATTGACTACATAACCTATTGTGAGCCAGTTACTTAGTCTAGCCTCCAGTGCCAGATGCATGTTACGGGACCTTTACGCTACCTTACTTAATATCATCAAAAGAAAACTGATGTGATAACTGCCATTTTTGTTTAATGTCTTTTCAGATAGTCCCACCTGGGGGTAATACCAGTTTTGATGTGGTATTTCTGGCTCGCCAGGTGGGAAATGTAGAAAACACATTATTCATCCACACCTCCATAGGGTCTATCCGATATCAGGTAAGTTGTTTTACCTAGTTAAGAAAACTTCTGATGTTGACACAGCTGTAATGTTCACAGTCCTGTGGTGTTCACACATTCTTGATGTTCACACAGCTCTACTGCTCACACAACTTAAAAACACCTAAAGAGATTGACAAAGAACAACTGACATAACTAGCAAAACTGTCCTTTAACATTACGATCTCCCTAGGTCAGTTAGCTCCGCCCATTTACGCACTAGGTTACTTTTCATTCATAGTTCCTTAGGCTCGTCTACTTTACTGAGGGTTACAGAGGTGTCCCGGTATAGTGTTTCTCGAAAAGCTTTCTGCATTGTCTAACATTTATGTTTTTATTCCGAGAAAGAGAATGCGTGTGACCTAAGTTGCAGCATTCTCGCAAAGTAGGAGGGGGATGGGGGGGTGTTGTGATAGGGCCAGTCCTGCCTGTTTGTGGAGCGTTAAGAACGCTGATGTTCTGGAATATACCATACACGATATCAGTGGTGTTGTATCTTCCATCATGTCGGCACTTTTAACGCTCCAAAACCATGCAGGGCTGGCCCTAACACAAACCCTCCTACGAGAATGCTGCAACCTAAGTCACGCGCATTCTCTTCTTTAGTTGAAAATGTAAATGGAAGACAGCGCAGAAAGCTTTTTAAGCAAACAGTACACCACGACACCTCCGTTACCTCAGAAAAGTTGACGAGCCTGAGCAAGCACCAATCAAAAGTGACCTAGTGTGTACATAGGTGGGGCTAACTGACCTGGGGAGATCTTTGTAAGGTTTACCAAACTGTCTTATCTCAAACGGATATATAGTTCAACATATTGTAGTACTAATAAAGGGAGCTTCTAGTTATGTTTGCTAAAAATATTTCCTTTATGAATAATATCTACCTAAATAACTTGTAATTGAACTTTGGCAGTATACAGTAAAAGTAAAGGACCATTTTCCACGCCTACAGGTGCAATGGGCATATAGGGCTAGACCTGTATTTAATAGACCAATCAGCACTCTGTGGGTGATTTGGTCAGCATCACACAGGCCGCCTTTATTTCTCGGGATTGTACCTGGTATCCATTCAGGGCTTAGTTGACCTGGAATCATTTTTGTTTTAAAAAAATCAGGCTCTGCTAGGATCCGAACCCCTGACCTTCGATCCTCAGGTGAGAATCTAGCTGCTACACCACAGCAGCCCCCTCTTTAGCAGCGTATCAGTTGATGAGTTAATGCTGTATCCTTTACAAGATGGTGCAGAACCAATCCCCGTATTTTTTGACTTTTGTGGTTTTTCTAGGCAAATTTATGTCCAGTTATTTGCTTGGCAGTATATACAAACTCATAAATGTTTTTTCTTTTGTTAAAATGCAAGGCTATCCTCTGAATAACGGTCCTAAATTATTGAGGCTAAAAAAAAACCTAACAGGGCCTCAATAATATGTAAATTGCGGACTTCTTTCCAATGAAAATACCACATACCACGGGAAACACTCCTCCAAATAACGGTCCCAAACCATCGAGGGTGTCAACAGCTCCGACACTGAGTGCTAGGTTTAACTTCTCCCCTGGGTCCTAGGTTTAACTTCTTCCCTGGGTCCTAGGTTTAACTTCTCCCCTGGTTCCTACCTATGTTTAACTTTTCCCCTGGGTCTTAGGTTAAGGGTTAGGATTAGAGTTAGGGTAAGGAGTATTGCAATTATAACGCTGCCACCAGAATCTCACAACAATGGAACCGCGTCACTATCGATTGCAGGGTTATGGATGGAACGTTCGTGGACGCGACATTACCACAGCGGCACTAGTCGTAGTATCCTAGCTGCAGTCACAGACATTGAGGCCCTGTTAGGGTATTTTGTTAGCCTTGATAATTTGGGACCGTTATTAGGAGGATAGCCAAATGCCCTAGGAAACAAATCAACACTAACATACCTTTTTTTTTTTTTTTTAAGGAATTGCCTTTATGCACATTGTTATTGCTAATTTTGGCGGGTTTACCTACCGTTCAGTCACATCTGCTCTCAGCTGGTGTTTGATATAGACATTTTGTTTCTGCTCTTAAATCGTGCAGGTTTTTGGGGTTGGCATCCCAAATCCATATCGGCTACGACCCTACCTAGGAGCTCGGGTGCCCATCAATAGCAGTTTTACACCTGTTATACAAATACATAATCCATACAGTACCCGACTGCAGGTGAGTGTTTGTTTCACTCTATTCATGGCTTTTCTTTGTTCATTCTATTTATGTTTTTTTCTTTGTTCGTTCTATTTATGTCTTTTCTTTGTTCGTTCTGTTTGTGACTTTTCTTTGTTCATTCTATTTTTTTTTTCATTCTATTTATATCTCGTCTCTGTTCTGTTTGTGTCTTTTCTTTGTCCATTCTAATTATGACTTCTTTGTTTATTCTATTTGTGTCTTTTCTTTGTTCATTCTATTTTGTGTCTTTTCTTTGTTTATTCTATTTGTGTTCTTTCTTTTTTCATTCTAATTAAGTCTTCTTTGTTCATTCTCTTTATCTCTTTATCTTCTGACAGAGTATGGTCACTTAGTGGTCAGTGACCTGGCTTGTCTATACAGTTATCATTCTAAGTTGTAGAATTTTGCTTCCAGCCAGAACCGCTTTTGCTATCTCTGGCAACAGATACCTGCAGAAGTTGGATGTGTCAATCAAAAGGCGCAAATATCACAGCCATCTTATAAATGTATTTACATCTTTTGATGAATGTGGAGCTGCATGGTTTCAAGGCATGGTGTCCGCCTCTAGTGCTAGAGGTTACGGATTCAAATCCCGGGTAAGGGCTCCGATTTTTTAATGTGGACTTGAACTTCTGGTAATTCCCACTGGTCTCTGGGTAGTGAGATCGGATCGTCCGTAGCCTAATGGTGCTGCCTGGGCAAAATGTGGAGTTTAAAATCTACACAAAGTATTTCCGGATCCTTGCCGGTGCTACAGAGCCTGTGCACTGTGCTGAGCTTTTTCGGACAGGAGTAAGAAGAAGAACGGAGCACCAATGGGTTACAAACCATGTGCCATGATGTTGATCCGGTATTCAAACCTCAAACCGCAGAATACGAAGAAGAAAGAACTGCTATTAGGTTTGCAGAGATTTCCTTTACTTGATGTTTTTACCCTTGGTAATGAATTTATGTTTTGATCTGCAGGTTAATCCTTTGTATTATATCATCTTGTTTTCTGTACATGGTGATGTTCTTGTACTGCTGGTATACTCACCTGTGTTCTAATTGTTTCCCTCCGCAGGTACTGGAAATGTTTGCAAGCGAGGGAGACTTGCACTTAGAGCTGCCTTCAGGGGAGAGGGAATCCACAAGAGATATTTGGGTATGTATGTGGGGGGGGGGGGGGAGGGTGTAGGATGGTAGAGAGAGGCCATGTGTATATGTGCGAGTGATCGGCATGACCCTGTCTCATGGGTGCCAGGCAGTACCCTTCGACGTTGAGGTATTAAACATGATGTTGACCGCGTCACTCATTGAGTACTGATTGTACTATACAAATAATAATCTTGTGCTTTAGACAGAACGAGCAAACAAACTCAATTTTGAGAGGGTGACAAATTGGGCACACAGCCCTGTCTTACAGTTGGCCCTTCCAAGCACCCATCTCTCACACAGCAGTTGTATTTCATCAATAAAGTATGCTAAGTTCATATAATGTTAGGTGTATTATGAATATCAAGAAGAAATCGCACAAGAATGTGTGATAAGATGCATCTTCACACTTGTGCATGCGCACACACCCACATACACACCCACCCACTTATTCACTTACACACATACATGCACATACGTAATACATACAAACACACACAGATAAACACAGACTCATATACACACGAAGACACACACACACAGTCACATACAAAGACACAGTCTCACTCAAAGACACACATGCAGACATGCACACACAAACACTCACATATATAGACACTCACAGGCTTACACACACATACAAACTCTCATACATACACACTCTTGCTCATACATACACTCTCAGATTTATTCATATACACAAACACCTAAACATACACAAACAGCCATAAATACAAAAACACACAATATGTTGGTAGCATGAGAAGGTTCCATATTTCCATACTTTATTAGACAATCCAGTTTAATAATGAACATACACAATATAGTAACTTCCTCAGTTATAAAATAAGGAAAGGAAGGCAGACAGTCAAGTACAGGTAATCAGCAGGTAATTGCTGTTGAAACTTTATAGCAAATTGGTCAGCTTATAGTTTGCTCCATTTTTGTGCCAGTGAAAACCACTGAGAGTGTCCATCACTGTCCCTTGTTGAGAAAACAAATTGACACTGCAGTCTTAGCAAAGCTAACAGCATACAGAAACACATTAAATTAAGGTAAGCAGCAGTCAGAGGTGCTGACACAACAGTCCGACACTAGAAATGCAAATATTTTTTCAGCCTCATTTGGGTGTTGGATCACTTCTGGTATTTATCAGAGGTATAAAAAGGGAAGGCCGGAAAAGGAACTAACCACCCTACTGCATTATTCAATGACCAGATAAATATGTAGGCCCAAAACTTCAAATCAACATGTCATTATCTGTCATAGGCTAATCTTAACTTCTCTGCTTCTTCTTGTTCATGTTTAACGGCTGTAAACAGCCCGGCTCTCTAGCGAAGTTGGTTAAACCTGACTTTCACGGCGGCCGGGTGACGAACTCCTTGTGGTCCGGGTTCACTCCCGGGGGTAGGCAGAAAAGCCACATTTCTCCCAGATTAACGGTACCTATAATGGAATCAATGCCGAATGGTTGCGATATCCATAGTACCGAGCCAAAGGGTTTACAACTCATGGTTTCTGGATACGTTAAAAAAAAAAAAAAAACTGCTGTAAACTAAGGCAGAAAATTCTGGCTATTATTCCACTTCTGGACTTTGGTCTTGTTCCAGAATCTGAGTTGCATGCACATCCATTTATAGGCTTATTTGTATGCAGACTGTTGGTTCCTTGCCTCTCTGGCAGTTGCACTCTGAATTCAAAGGATGCCTCATTCAGGCGACTTCTACAACATGCTTGTTGGGGAGGCAGTGGGTCTATTCTTGTTTCCCCCACAATGGGGCCTCAGAACTCACACAGGGCTTATCTTAACTGCTGATTAAGATTTGTTTTTCAGCTTATCCTTTGTTGTATCTGCAGGAAATCAAGCCCTTTGAGACGAAGGCGGTGATGAAGGCCAATTTTGTAGGTAGAGTAGAAAGCAATCATTCAGCCTTTATCCGCATCAAGACAAACAAAGAGGAGGAGCATGCTAACATCCCAGAGTTGCTAATTTTACCTCTGGAGGTGGAGGTGTCCTCAGGTGCTTGCTTTTGTTCCCCTGTTTTTTCATGTTTTTTAGGTGTTTTAATGTATCAGCCACCGGAGTTAAGGAGTTTGTGCTTTGTGCGATATCCTGAGCAGCCAGTTTGTTGAAAGAGACTAACCCATATGGGATAAAATCTGGTTCAGTTAAGTCAGTCCTCTCGATTTTAGTGTAGCAGCACTGGGGATTTGATCATTTTGTCAGAGGCGTGGAACCAAGGCTTATACTCCTGAAGATCTATCTGCAACCCTCAACAGTCATGCTAGAAATTGGTTCACAGCCAGAGAGAGGCCTAGCCAGTGTAGATATTTTCCTCATTTCCAATAAAGTCAGAGTGTGCCACTTGAAAGGTGAGGTTGATATCCACACTTTCTTTGAAGTTGGAGTGTGCCAACTTGAAAGGTGAGGTTGATATCACATTTTCTTTGAAGTCGGAGTGTGTCTGCTTGAGAGGCGAAAAACCACACAAATAAGCCAGGTGTTACAATTTTAGAGCATGAACTGTTGTGAACTTCTGTCTTCATTTTAACAAATGATTATTGTTCATACGTGTTCCTGTGTCAGATATGGTTTGTGCAGAGATGACACCATAAAACTCTAAGACAAAACTGTCTCTCTCAGCCAGTGTTTTGAAGTGTAGATGCTTATCCTTGCACAAAGAAACGGGTTGTAAATAAGTCCTGTTTGTTCTTCATTTGTTGCCATTGTCCCCATTTCAATGTAATATGCATGTTTGGGCAGTCAGGTTGAATCATTGCAGTGAAGTATGTGCATGGTCAAGTCAGGTGTTAGCTGCATGTTCTTTATAAGGGCCACAATGCTGGAAAATGGGGATCTTTGCAGGCCAGCAACCCGTGCCACAGCACAGAAAGATCATTAAAACAATACAGTTGGCAGGTGATCTTAGGGCCACTTGCTAGGCCTCTGTGGGCTGCCAGTTGAATAGCCTAGCTTTAGGATGTTGCAGACCAACAGCAGCATTTAACTAAACCATTTCTTGTTCAGTAGCTTGTGTTAGAAATTAATAGTATCTCTCTCATTCGCAGTTCAGTTTTAATTTAACTCATGTATTAAGAAGTTGCTACTTAAACTAATACATGTTTGGGCCTGAATAGGTTAAAATAATACTACCACGAGGTAGACAGAGATAAAGTAACAAGTGGGACAGCGTAGTTTACTGTAGCACCTGAAAAGGTCACACCGATGGGAGGAAAGTATATTACATCATTTGAAACAACAAACTCGTATGAGTTCATTGGAAAACGAAATTTGAGTAAAATGATACAGAACAAGTAGAGTATCTGTCTTCTGTGAAGAGTAGAATGAGATGGTCATGACTTGTATCTTCAACTATTCTCACTTCCTGAACGGGACTTTTGATGGTGAAATGGTTAAGCTGTTTGCCTCAATCCGTTAGTGGGTTTAGTCTCCAGCTCAGTTCTTAGGTTTCCTAGTGCAGTGTTTTGGATCATTACTAGAGCTTCAGAGTTTTCTGCTTTGTGTGATACTTTCCGCTGATCTGTGAAAAGAGGCAAAGCTATTCAGCATAATACTTTGAGCAATGAAGTCTATGCACTTGCTTGTAACGCCTGACTCTATCAAACAGTTATTGTCCATTGAAAAATAAAAGTCTTGTAATCATGATTGTCTTCCTTCAACGTTGACAGATCCAGGCATCTATTCGCCGGTGGAGCTGCTGGATTTTGGCATATTGCGGACACTGGATGAGCCTAAAACTTTACCACTGAACCTCATCAACACAGGGCCAAAAGCTATTCATATTACAGTGAGTGTTTATGCTAGCTATAGTAATTTGTGAGATTTGAATTTCTAGTGCCTTATTAGAAGAGAAGATTAGGAAAACTTTTTTTATTTTTTTATACATAATCTTTTTTTTTATTGACCAAGAACACTTTTTTAAATTGGAGTTCACAAAATCTGATAGTCTTCAACTGATGTGTGCTCCTAGGTTTTTGTGTATGTATGTCTAGGTCAGGTCAGGAGTATCAGTTTGTTGATTTGATTGGTAGACCCTGGGGAACTGAATTGTTAGTCTCACTTCTGATTTATTGGAAGGTCATTTGAGTGAATCATTAAAGAGCAATACATGAGATGATTTGAGCATCTAATAAGAATGCCCTGGTACCACAGAGAGCCATGCTGAAGAAAAGCTGTGAATGCAGAACAAGAGGAAGACCATGCAAACATAGAACGACATGACAACATCAACAGTTAAAGAAATGGAGACATCTTAATCGTTGAAAAAGTTATGCAGTGTATTTGAAAGACCTGGTACCACAGAGAGCCATGCTGAAGAAAAGCTGTGAATGCAGAACAAGAGGAAGACCATGCAAACATAGAACGACATGACAACATCAACAGCCTTAAAGAAATGGAGATCAGCTTAATCGTTGAAAAGTTATGCAGTGTATTTGAAAGAACACACCGAAGATCATACAAGGAATTGTGGAGAGAACAAACAAACCAACAGTAAACATGTGCAAGACCTCATCAGCAGACTTAAACAGAAAACCATGTTGAGCAGTTTTCTGTTTAAGACCAGGACACCACAGGCTCAACTACCACATGCATAGAATAAAGACTACAGTCCCCACAGTGTGCATATCAGATGGGACCACAAACACCTGAGCACATTCTGCAGACCTGCCAACTCTACCTACAACTGTGAAGACAAGCCTGGCCTCAAGAGCAAAATGTGCAGATCAAGCTATGGGTAACAATGAAGGACCGCTGCTGACATGCAAGTTCATAGAGGCAACTGACCTGAGCATACGAAACCAAATGCAAAGAAGAAGAAGGTCTTGTCTCTTTGTGTATTACTACATCCTGGCACAGGATGATGGCAGTGACTGAGAAATTGGTGACATCAGCAAAATAATAGAATTTATCATCTCTGTTTTTTTAATATATATTTAGATTGATTGATATGCTTGTAGAAGATTGTCTAGTACTATTTAACATTGTTGTCATGGTTTCCTTGATTTATTATGTCTTGTCTAATTCTTCTTCTGCGTTCACCCAGTGTTGTGGTTTATTGCAAGGCTGCGATATCTGCTCTTTTCAGCCCAACACATTTGATTTCAGCCGCTAGTCTGCCTTTACAGCAAGCTCGTGAAAGGGACAGTGAATTTGTACAGGAGCACGTCTGTTGTCTGTTTGATTCAATTTAGTTTTTATATGTTTGATAATATCTGCCTGTTTTGATTGCTTGATTGTATCTTTCAGCTGTGAAAGCTTTACAGTTCAAGCAGTTTTCTGGAAGGATTGTGGTGAAAACAAAATACAACAACCAGAAGTTGGTCATTCCATACCAGGCCAACGTTTTACATGGGTGAGTAGTTAAATTTGTGCCGTAATGGTGACTGAGTTGTGTTTGACTTGCATGTGAGTGAGCTGTGTGGCATTGTGTTTTGGTGGGGTTTGTGTGGATGGTACATGGGTCAGTGAAATGTCTGAGACAAATCCTGAATGTCACAAGAAGTGGATGTCGAACACGGAAGTAGTAGATGTATAGAATATCAGAAGAGACTGCCAGTATCTAGTTAACACACACCAAGGATCGCATGTGAGGCCTCTTCCAAGCCTGATTTCAAAATGCAGCGCAGGCTGTCGGTTAAAAAAAAATGGGAGGAGAAGGGTACATATGTAATATTCTTTCTTCTTCTTCTTCGTGTTCATCGGCTGTAAACTCTGGTGGAAAGTTCTGGTTGTTTGTCCACCTCTGGGCTTTAGTCTTGTTCCAGAACCTGAGTGTTGCGTGCACATCCGTTTAACAGATCTGACTTAATTGTTCAGATTGTTGGTTCCTCTCTTCTCAGGCAGATACACTCCCAACTTTGAAGGCAGCTCCCAGTTAGTCGACTCTTACGACATTCTAATTGGGGAGGCAGTGGGTCTGTTGTTGTTTTCCCCCACAATGGAGGCCCTGAAACCCACACAGGAAATGTGTGGTATTATGTGTGGGTACTCCCTCCGAGACCAGACAAGGGGAACACCTTGTACGGAGGAGAAGAACAGCTTGTGAAAACATGCAAATTCCACTACATGGCATTGGGCCAGAGGGCGAAAGCTCATGCGCCGCTGGATCGATAACAACAACAACAAAAACAACATGTGTGGGTAAGGGGTATAATTGTAAAGCCTGTCTTACTGAATTGTTCATGACTTGATGGAACTGAGGAGTTGTGATAATTTGATGTCAGTAATCATCTACTGTCTTGAATTGCCATGTGGGACATGCAAAACTGAGAACTGCTTGTCTGTCCTCATCATAGTTGATTGCTGTGACTATCTCACAGTCTCAAAACCTAGAGAGTTTGGGGTCCATTTATTTCAGCAGATTAGTGTTTGATTTAACAGTGGCTGCATGGAGGTGAATTGAGTTGAGTTATGGTTCAGAATCACAACACTGAGAACATTCCCATGAGAGCTCCATCCCCATGTTCAGCAGCTGTCACAGAGTTCCAGTTCCGCTGGTACCATAACAGTGTGATTGTTATGTCCAGTTTGATTTTCCTCCGAGTGTAGACCCCCCCCCCTTCCCCCCCCCCCCCCACACATGGAAGATTAAGAGTACCAGAGACAGGATAAAATTTTGGACATTTTACTGGAGTAGTACGGAAGACAATCAGTGATGGAACTTACCTGACCACAGGAGAGCATGATGCCTGCACAGCATGGCATGTCACCGTGTTGTGTCAGTGATATTTTTAGTTATCACAATAAACGATAAACTGAAATATTTCGGCAATGTCAGACGCCACAGATTAAAATAATAATATAATAATAATAATAGCAAAAGGCATGGTGCCAAGAAGGAATGGCAGGGACTGACTAGCACGAAGACGGGCACATGATATAAGTGTCACTTAAGATAGGAAGTGGACAAGGAGGGAGAGCTGGCGAGAGACTTGGTTTCTTTCAGGTAGACTGTGAAATGAGTAACTTTCTGTTTCAGGTAGACTGTGAAACGAGTAACTTTCTGTTTCAGGTAGACTGCGAAACGAGTAACTTTCTGTTTCAGGTAGACTGTGAAACGAGTAACTTTCTGTTTCAGGTAGACTGTGAAACGAGTAACTTTCTGCAAAAGACTTGCTACATGATGATGAATGCACGATAACGTGAACTGTTTTCTGCAAATTGTCTGTTTACTTGTCTCACAGGTTGTCTTGTTTCTTGCCCTCTTCACAGATCGCTGGTATACAGTGTCAACACTACACAGTTTTTTGGTGCCAAAGCTCTGTGGAACGTCACCAGGCCACTAATCTTCACAAACACATTCAACTTCTCTGTGGTCATTTACAATGTTAGTTTACCACCTGAAGTGGCACCATTCTTTACGGTAAATTTTGTTTGTTTTCTAGAAGACATCATAAACATCATCATATCTCAGTCTTAGCATTCTGAGCCCTTGTCGTATGGCAGTTTTGTCGCGCACCTTTACTAACGGAATATTTTCACAAATCCCTCAGGTGCTCTGAGACAGGAGTGTTTTGAATGGTGGCTCTCGTTCGTCTAGAGGCCTCACCCTCGGTTCAAACTTTCCATTCAACCTATCTCAGGGATGAGGTGACACGAGCTCTGACTCCACAGGGTTATTATGAACACTTGGGTACCTCTCGGCCAGACGTCCTCACCACTTTGCCCCCAGACTGGTATCAATGTAAACCCAGTCGAACAAGTAATCAACAGTGAATTTGACAAGACAGGACTACCTTTCTGGATACGACAGCGAATTCCAATAAAACGAAACTTTTCTAATAACCAGAAGATTGATGAACTATAACATAAATGTAATAAGTTCACTATAACAAAGTTGACGAAAAGTAGCGTGAAGAATTCAAAAGGAATGTTCAAAACTCTGAAAATCTAACACTAGAGAAAGAGTCTTTCTACATAGACACATCAACTTCCTGGATCATCATGGCGGAGGTGGAGAACTGATTACAAAGGCCCATTGGGAATCGAGCCATGTTAGGGATGTCGCTTTGACTTATCTGATTAGATCTCGCAGCTCCTCAGGATGCCGGAATGGAGTTTCACACTGCCGTACTTTACAGCACGACTTCACAGGAACGAAGCAGCTTCTCAGGATGCCGGAATGGAGTTTCACACTGCCGTGCTTCACAACACGACTTCACAGGAACGAAGCAGCTTCTGGCATGGATCTAGGACAAACAACTCGAGATCGGAATATGTAGACTCAAGTATCGTCCACACATTCAGCCCAGCAATTCACCACACGTCAATCGCTTATTGGGTAGTGGCAGATGGAACCACTCAGTCAGACACAGACGTTTGTTGGATCTTCAGAAATCCTGAAAAACGCAAAGCATAACCCATGAGCGAACCGTACCCAACGCACCTAGTTAATCAAAGTCCTTACCCCCTCCCAATGCTCAGATATACTTGAGGTTATTCCAAACCATGAAGGTTGGTTACCTCTATCTTGGAATCCATTTAGTTTCCTAGAGTGAGCACTAGATCATTAACTCGAATAGTTCCTGGATTCAGTCCTGTAGCGAAGGCTAGACAGATCTACATTATTTCCCCTCCCTTTTAAAATACCTTTTCCACTAATGGGGAAGATAAGGGATAGGCGATGAAGTCAAACTAAGATCGACTGAAATTCTCCGAAAATAGTACGACAGTCTAAGCTTGTTGTGGTTACGAAGTCTCCTAGCAACAGCGGATATGACGTCATGCCCGCCCAGAAGCTCCTTGTCATTCACAACGGTTCAGCTACTCACCAAGTTCTGACACCGAATAACAGCAAATAACTAATCATACAAAGTCATCAATACCATAAACCCACTCCAGATAGGTGGATTGATTGA